AAAGTTTACTTTCAAATGAGGAGAATCTAGTAATTTGGAATAACTGTAATTCTCAGTTTATCTACAGATTTTTTTCAGCATAGTCTACATTGTTAATTAGACTATAGTTGATACTGACAGCAGAGCATTCCCTGTTTTATGGTGCCTTGCTTTAGGCAAAGTGCTCTTAGAAAGCAGAAACCTGATTTAATTTCCAGTTCAACCTTGAACTTTTTCAAAACATTTTCACAATGTGTACCTGAAGTTTCTTCCTTGAGTTCTTGCAAGGCAGTACCTGATAGCATAAAATGTTTTTTTTTTCAAACAGCATAGACAGAATAGAACATCCAGCACATTTTTGTACAAACAACATTTTGACACCAAAGTAAAGTCTTTCATCTTTCTTAAGAGTGTATGAAATTTATCCAATACTACTTCCCTTGCAACTGACAAGGGAATTCCCTAGAATTACCCAGCTACTCAATAAATGATTTGCTCAACATCTTATGTTTGCTACAAATGAATTCCCTATAGCTCAAGCAAGAATTACCCAGCTACTCAATAAATGATTTGCTCCACATCTTATGTTTGCAACAAATGAATTCCCTATAGCTCAAGCAAGAATTACCCAGCTACTCAATAAATGATTTGCTCAACATCTTATGTTTGCTACAAATGAATTCCCTATAGCTCAAGCAAGAATTACTCAGCTACTCAATAAATGATTTGCTCCACATCTTATGTTTGCAACAAATGAATTCCCTATAGCTCAAGCAAGAATTACCCAGCTACTCAATAAATGATTTGCTCCACATCTTATGTTTGCAACAAATCATGTACCATGCACTTTGGTAAAATAAAAATGCTGCATACCAAATGCACTGGTAGTTGTCTCAAACTGCCTTTTGAACTTTCCAGGTCATTTGAACAAGTAGTATATAGTTGTCATGAAGTCTTTTACATTAGTAAATGATTTAGATACACAATCTTTTAATGCCAATTCAACTTTATGGGAAACAGTGAATGTTTAAAAGCCAGAGGCGATTGTCATTTTTCCATTTTGTTAGCAATCCAATGTAAATTCCAGTATTAACAGAGGCTCCATCAGATGCAGCTGAAACTAGCAGGTAAGTGTAATTAGTTAAATTACTTGCATCTGCATTACCAAAGCTATCAACATCCTGTAAAGCAACACAGAAATAAAATTATATGCCTTGCTTGACTGTTCTAATGAAAATCAATTCTCTTTCTGAGCTGGTTTTTCTTGCCTGAAAATACACCACTAAGAATATGCAAAAGCTATTGCTGAACATAAAATCACTGCTACTTTCTAATGAATGCCTTCTGCAATAACATTAATAAATTATTTTGTTCTATTGACATTATCAAAATTAAAAATCAGTTGTATCCCATTTTGTTTTTGCACTTTAACTAAAGTTTAGAATAATGACAGAGGCTGTCCATCCACAGTAAGCAAGTAAGCTGTTTTAAGAAGCTTTCTGTATGCCTCCTTAACTTGTGCATGCAGACCTTTGTTTATCTGAGGTTGAAGAGAAATGCTGGAAGGACCATCACTAGCAATAATACTAGTGCCAGAAAGAGTCTTTTCATCATCTTCAAGCAACTTTTTAATGCCATAAAAGCACAAATGTATGAACTTAAAATATTGTAATAAAACAATTTAATAAAAACTACACATTAATAAAACAAATGGACAGTAGAATCTATGTAAACAATAATCCTAGTGACTGATAATTTACTAAAAACAACATATGCATAGGCCTACCAGTTTATAAAAATAACAAAAAATCAGTGAACAGATAATACTGTACATAAAAACATTTAATTATGTTTAAATTGGTACGTAAATAATATAGGCCAAAAAATCAGTTCTCTAATTACCTTAGTATATGCTCAAAAATTAACAAATAACTAAATATAAAGTTTACAAGTGACTTGAAAACCAGTTAAAATGCATATCATCAAGTTAGGCCTCAGCCAATAATTTATAAATGCAAACAAAGTTGATGACAATTCTATTATAAAATAAGCCCAATTAAATCATTGAATGTATCTAACAAACTAACAACTGTCTTGGGAATACATGTTTTTCCTCTGGTTTATGTAGATGCTTGCAAGTTGCATTCAAACATAGACCTATGCAGGCAACGTTTGGGTTTACCTTTGAATCAAAGGCAATATTATAGTTTACTGACTGTAAAATGTAGATACAGTGCCTTGCAAAAGTATTCATTCCCTACCAATAATATCACATTTTGATGAAATACAAATAATATAAAATTTTTTTAATGAACTTGTTTGTATTAAAAACTCTAATGATCCAACTTAACACTGTTATGTGTGAAGGAGGTTGAATGTCAGATAAACCTGCAAAGAAAATGTATAAATTGAAATTTGCTGATTACATAAGTATTCAGCCCCCTAAGTCAGTACTTGGTGGAAGCACCTTTGGCTGCAATTACTGCTGTGAGTCGTTTTTGGATAGGTCTCTGCCAACTTTACACAATTGGATGGTGTAATTTTTATCCATTCTTCCTGACAAAATTGCTCCAATTCTGACAAGATTGTTGAGGATTTTTGATGGAATACAATCTTCAAGTCTCACCATAAATTTTCAATTGGATTCAAGTCAGAACTTCGACTGAGCCACTCCAGAACATTCACTTTCCTCTTTTGAAACCACTCCAGTGTGGCTTTGGCTTTGTCCTGCTGAAATGTGAATTTTGACCCAGTTTTAGATTCTTGACTGACTGAATCAGGTTTTCCTCTAGGATTCACCTGTACTTTGCACCATCCATCTTCCCCTCAATCCTGAGAACCTTCCCAGTTCTTGCTGATGAAAAGCACTCCCATAATATGATGCTGCCACCACCATGCTTGACATTTAAAATGGTGTTGACTGGGTGATGTGCTGTGTTGGACTCATGCCACATGTAATGCTTTGAATTTAGACCACGAAGCAGAAATTTTGTCTCATCTGAGACAAATCCTTCTGCTACATGGCTGCAGTATCAATTACATACTTTGTCACAAACTCCACACAAGATTTAAGATAATTCTTTTTCAGTAATGGCTTCTTTCTTGCCCATACAGGCCAACTTTGTGTAAGGACCAGGATATTGTCAATGTATGAACACTGACTCCCATTTCATACATGGAACTTTGTAAATCTTTCAAAGTCACTGTTGGCTTCACAGTGATATCCCTAACCAGTTTCCTGGTTCCCTGGCTGCTTAGTTTGGAAGGGAAACCTGATTTGGGTAGTTATTGGGTGGTATGAAATACATTCCACTTCTTAATGATGGACTTCACCGTACTCAAAAAGGATAATCAGTGAATTGGAAATTTTCTTGTAACCTTCTCCTGATCTGCATTTCTCTACCATTTTATCCTTGACTTGTTTGGAAAGCTCCTTGGTCTTCATGGTTGGTTTGAATATCACTATGAGAGTTGAGGCTTGATAGATGCATTTACTCTGAAGTCAAGTTAAACCAATTTGACACACAGACAGGGACCGTTACATAATTTTGTGACCTTTCAAACTTATCTTTTGCATCTGAACTGATTTAGGGTTGCCATAGCAAAATGGTTGAATACTTATGTAATTGAGGATATTCAAATTTTATTTGAAAATCTAACTTACTTACATAACATCAACATTTTTTTTAACTTTCTCAGTTTGGAGTAGATTGTGTTGATTCTAAATATAAAGTCCCATTTCAAAGTTTCATGACTGCAAGCTCAGATGGCAACAACATGTGGAAACTTTGCAGGGTATTGTAATTGATGATATAGGCTGTATGCATTATGAGGATAACGAAAGGATATCATTATAGATTGGAGTAATATATACATATCTAAATCAATACAGCTTGTTTCTGAATTCACGTGGATGAGTCACTGTACTTCATCATGAATTCAGTGTTGTATATATACTTCTCCACTTTTTACTGACTGTACCCTTTCACTTCTTTTCAAATCTCCTCACTGTATTTAGCACAAAGCTTGCACCAAAGTTTTGTTACAATGTCTCTTCCTAAGGTTCCTTTGAAAAAACTAATTCAATGTGTCTACCAAGATTCCATTTGTTGAGTGTTGACAACAAAACAGTTTCACTGGCTAAACTGAGACATGACAGCCCTTGCAGCTTCATTTCATGCAGAAAATCAAATAAGTTTATCAAATACAATTTAGATGATGATGAGATTTTTTAAAACTGTTTTTACTGCTTTGAATTTGCTAATAATTAATAACCAATTTTGTAAATAAGCTTTAACACATTGACTTAATTTTTCAATTTCAATATTAGATGTGTACATAATAGAACAATATAGTTTGAAAATATCATATTACTGCATGTGTAACATCACTAGTACAGCCAAAAGTACCAGAGCTGTAGCAACCAACAGGGTTACACAAAGTTATTTGTTAGCTTGTCTATGTAAATAAACAACAGCTGACTGTGTGAACAGTAATAATCATGACAGACTTGACAGGGGCTCTAAATAAGCCCTTGCAAAACTATTTCATGGGTATTTCCAAGTGGCAGTGTGAAGGCGCCTGTCAAATGTGAAGGCCTTTACATTTTTTCATGGCAGTTGACACTGGTTGAGGCAGACTAACCTAACATCAACACAAAAATGGCTAATGAGATATGTACGATATATCTATTGTTTTCTAAAAGTTGATAATAAGCATTAATCATATGGTTTAATCAATATACTAAAATATACCAAACATTTTTTCTCCACACTGTACAAAGTAAAAGGTTTTAACTAGTAAGCGAATAAACTTAAAGAAATCTGAGAATTTCTGAATTACAAAACAGCCAGTTTTTCACTTTCTTTTCTTCAGTACACTTGTGACAAGACATCTCAAATTAATGTTATTATATCAGACAATGTCTATATGACCAAAATCTGACATTTAAATCAAAACTAAAATCTTTAATTTGACAGAAATAAAATACATTGTTCGAATATGGTGGATCCCACAAGTACCTTGTCATCAGCAAAATCTTCATCGCTAAAGTCAGTTGAACCATCTTCTTGAGTTAGCCGCCAATCAATGTTAACATTTTCAAACAGAGTTTTCTTGTTCTGAAGGGCATGTTCAAGCTTAAGCAAAAATAAAATTTTAAACATTATAAATGATCACATGTAATATCTATTTCTAAGGGAAACAATCGGGGTTGTATTATTTTGAAATAATTTTTACATCTTTACTTTTTACATCTTTTACCTATAAAAATTAACCATATATCTGAAATTGATCCTAGGCTGTTTCACGGCATATACATTATACAAGTACCATCTCCAAATATGTAAAATTTTATCCTAGGTTGCATCATTTTATTTACAAGCAATATAAATATGACCTCCATATATGTGCAAAATTCTTCCTTAGCCTAACCCGCATATTTACACTTACCAATTCTATACATGTGTGAAATTCCTTCTCTCTGGCTATATCTAGAGGAGTCCTTCCCTCAGAATTTTCAATCTGGGGGTTGGCCCCACTTCTTAATAATAATTTCATACATTCAGTTTGGTTCTCAAGTGTACAGATGTGCAAAGGTGTGTTCCCATGTTTGGTTTGTTTGTCGATGGTGGAACTGTGTAAGAGAAACACATCTTCTCATTAAAAGCCAGTTCTTATTAATTAAAGTTTCTTGTTCCAATACACATGTACAGTAAAAAAAAATTAAAATTTTAATGATAAGTAGGGATCGTTGGTTAATCATAGAACTGCTGTAAGAAGTATCCAAAACAAAATAAATGCTGCAATTAAAAGTACCCAAACAAGTAAAGTGATACTAGTTAGATAGATTTTAAAATGTTTTTCAATCCATACTTTAGTTGGCATTGTGATATGTATAACTAAATGAAGCAGTCTAAATTGGCAAATGTGATTTTTACTTATTCTTAGAGGTTGGTGATTTTAGATGCAATCTTGGAGGAGGAGGTTTTTTAGCTTTACTTTATTGGCGTGTGTGAAATGTTTATTTATGATCAAGCAGTTTGCCCCTGAAGAAGAAAGGTCCACCTTTTGAAAGCGTTTGGGTTATAGGGTTTTTATTCAATTCAAGCAAAATTAGATAACATTCTTATCTGATTACACCATCCCTTATTTGTATTATTCATTATCAACCTACAGATTTGAAACACTACAAGTTAGAAGAACATAGTGCTGAAGTGTTCTACTGATATTTATTTAATATCATGATTTATAACTTCTCATTATACCTTCTGTAATACAATAGTTTGTTTGTTGTAAACATAATATGCAGAGCCATCTCATTCTTTTGATGAGAACCTATATTTAAAATATTTGTGAAAACAAAATCTGGTATTGCTCACCTGTTCTGTATAATGAAATCTACAATATGGAGAGATGAGCCTTCTTCCCGACTTATAGCAACATGTAGACTGGTTTCACCACCTCTCTGAAACAGTACAACTTTAATGCCACTCAACACAGGAACTGAGTTAACAAACTACTAAAGCACATAAGATTACTTAACAGTTTTGTTCTCTAATGTATCAACTTAGTTACATTCATATGCTCTAATACTTAAGTTTGATTAATAAACACATACTTTAAAATTTAAGCTTAATTAACAGCTACCTCCTTTAACCAATAAGATTTAACAACCTATAACAAATAAAAAAAAAGAATAAATAATCAGTGTTCAAATATAATAATGTTTGTTATTAATTCCTACCTTAAAAATGTGATTTGTAAATGGCTCAGATAGAACTTATAATAAAAATAATTCACTTGAATAAGATGACTAATACTAAAACAATTGTTGCACATGAAAATTAATGTTATATACATATATATAACATCTAGACCACTACTAAGTCTGTTGCATCTCAGCTGGCCTGATTAGCCCTGGTATTGGTTTTGGCACTGGATATACTATATGTAGAGTGGTTGACATATTATTACATATTCTCCTTTGCTTTCACTCATGGGTCTTTAGAAAAAAAGTAAGTTACCAACCACATCCTGTAACACACAAGCTTAGTTAATGAACTTAGTTAACAACCACATCCTCTGACACATAAGCTTAGTTACCAACCACATCCTGTAACACACAAGCTTAGTTAATGAACTTAGTTAACAACCACATCCTCTGACACATAAGCTTAGTTAACAACCACATCCTCTGACACATAAGCTTAGTTAACAACCACATCCTCAAACACACAAGTTTAGTTAATGAACGTAGTTAACAACCACATATTGTGGCACACAAGGTAAGTTAACAACCACATATTGTGGCACACAAGGTAAGTTAACAACCACATATTGTGGCACACAAGGTAAGTTAACAACCACATATTGTGGCACACAAGGTAAGTTAACAATCACATATTGTGGCACACAAGGTAAGTTAACAATCACATATTGTGGCACACAAGGTAAGTTAACAATCACATATTGTGGCACAC